CTTGAGATCCCTGCCTTAAACGACTTCGGAGGGAAAAGCAGATGCGACGAGTCTTGACGCAAATTGAATCAAAATGTGGAAAAATAATGTCCTGTCAAGCCAGACAAATGGGACCATTCCATTTCAGTGACTGAAAATTGCAACGAGAAACATGTCGAAGTCTGGAAAAGGTGCACTGTGGCACCAAAGAGAAATTTAAAAATAAATAGTAAATATGAATTTACAGATTAGTTGCTACGATTGCTTGGCCAGGTCGGACAAGTACCTGGCGCGGAAATATTTCAGCAAAGGAAGAGCTCAATTCAACGGCTGGGAAGTAGAACATGCAAAATTATTTACTTAAAGTTGAGGGATTAAAAGAAGAAAAAAAATAAAGAAATAAGGAAGGAAGGAGAGAAGAAAATATAGAAAGATATAGATAGATAGCTTAAAAGTTAGAAACTGGGAAGAAATGAATAAATGAAGAATAGAAGTGGTAAAGATGGATAGGCAGATAGCTTAAAAGTTATATAGAAGATTCGACATTGAAAGCAAAAAGAAAAGAAGTTAATAAAAGGAAATAGAAAAAATTGAACTAATGAAAGAGAGCAGGGAAGAAAAGAAGAAATGAATAGCTAGAAAAGAATAAAGGAAGATGAAGGCAAAAAATTAAAGGGGAGGTATGAAGGAAAGATAGATGTTTAGAGAGAGAATGGAACGATATAAGGAAAGGATTTAGAAGAAAAGAAACACAAATTGATAGAGAAACAATAACGAGAAAAAGAAAAAGTGAAGAAATGATAAAGAAATAGAGTAAGAAAAAAGGAAAGAAATAAAAACGGATAAATACATAAACAGATACATAAGGCGTTATGGGAATAGAAAAGTTGCAAGTAACAAGAAAGAAAGGTGAAACGAAGGAAAGCCGGAAAGAATATGGAATAAGAAAATGAATAAAGAAAGAAGCAATAAAAGAATGAATAAATGCCGTAATCATTTGATTGCTATGCCAAATAAAGGCACGAGAAGTAAATGTATTTTTCTATGAATTTCCTCATGTGTTTTATGGTTGAACTCACTTTAGTTGCGTTGAAAAGCGTGTGATGAAGAGATGTTTGGCTCGATCTCACCGGAAGAGGATGGCAAATTGACTGTTATCCGCTGTCGTTCAGGTTGACGCCTCCTCCTAGACAGCCCGATCTGGGTTGTCGAGGCAACAAGTTGAGCTTTCGTTTTCCACGTTGTTTAGCAGACATTACCAGAGCTGGACGACATTCTTGTCGCCGCGTCAGCTTGCTCTACGCCAGGAAAGCTAACCAGTTCACCATTCGCGACGGTGTATACTCGAAAAAAACATTAATTGTTTGCCTCCAAATGTCTCTAGTTTGCTGGACTCATTGCCTGCTGACGGACAGCTCAGCATTGCTATGCCGAATTGACTCGAGAAGCTATTAAAACTCGATAGATAGATTAGAAACCTACTTATTTGATATTAAGTAGTATGGGTGATTTTAATGGCAATTTTCAGCCCCACTATGAAATGTGAACGGGAAACAGCCTGACCTTCCTCGAAGGTCGCATCTGTTGACATGTGGCTTTTTACCCGAACTCTCCTCAACCCCGTGGCCGACCTGTAGATGTCACGAAAAGGCCTTCTTCGGCAGAGACTGGCTTTCTCGAGGTGCTTGTCGGTCAGAAAGATAACTTTCCATTTTCATTCGTCTCGCCTGAGCCCAGTCGAGTCGTCAACGGCCTGTTGTGCCGGAAGAACACGAAAAACAGTATCCCAGTTGCCATGCCAACAGAGAACACCATGCAGACTTGCTACAGAATAGCGGGGACTCGAGCCTGCGTCGCCTTGGACACCGGCAGAGTGGTCGACATCATGTCCAAACTTATGGGCGTCTCGAAGGCATCGTCGTGTGGTGTGGTCGAGTGTGAGGCTGCGACGCAAACTGGCGTCGTCATGAGGGCAAAAAGATGCGATGGCCAAGTCGAGATGCGCGCCATGGCCCAGCCAGAACAAGTTGACCGAGTCCACGTATCGCGAAAGATTGAACAGCAACATGTTGGCAGAAGACACACTAGCAGACATCATACAACCTACAACCTACAACCTACAACATACAACATACAGTAGGTCGCCAGTGTGATGCGTGAAGTGTGGCAGAGAGAGCAATGGAGATTTCTGGTGATTCACCGGCAAACACGTGGAGGCACAAAGGGACGGCTTCGTCAAAGTGGAATAGGCGAGTAGTGATTAGTTAATGCAGAATATTGCCTCCTAGCCACACTCGAGAAAGGGTACGTGGGTAAGGGGTACGGTGAGATTAGGAGATAAGACTTCTGGGAGAAGGGAACTATGCAAAAAACAGACGGCATAAAGAGAAAAGAAAGTGCAAATTGGTCTCTTCAAGTGGAAGGATGAATGGCCAAAAGTGCAGGGAATACCTCTCAAAGGGACATGCTGAAATACACACACACACACACACACACACACA